GTCACAGCCATGGTGTGGATGTCGTTCAAGCAGATGGCGGAGAGGTTTGTTGAAAGGTCTGTAGCTGCAACGTCATTGATGGAAAGGGGTGTTGAATTTATGCAAGTGCCGATGAAGAGATATGAGAAATACAGACGGCGAGCACATTGGCATCCAGTGTGCTTCAACGCAGCCGCTGGCCTGAGGCGCATCGCATCCCGCCTGGGTACGCTGTCGGGATCGTCATCATCAAGTCGCTTCCTTATAGCCGGATGCGCCGCAACATGATCATCAGTGGTGCTGACAGGATCGATAGAAGGGGCCGTCAGTCCAGTAGAAACCTACATAAGAATAGAAAGCTCAGTATAGCAAAGTATATAATAAGTCACAACAATTTAAATTGTCTTACCACCATCTCGTTGGGCTCCTGAATGTAATCATCTGTCGCAGCCATGTCAGCATCGCGTTCAGCCTTAAAAAGGAAATTAATAAAGTTATGGAAAATAAAGACAAATTCTAATTCAATACTAAGAAAATCATACCTGCGCCTGTGATGATGAACCATAACTTAGCCGGCGCCCACTATGTAAATCTCGGGTCGGCCGCTCCTCAGCAACAGTAGACGGGCCTGGAAAGTATGTATCCCAATCCACTCTAGAAAGGTCCGTGCCCGTGATCAATAATTGACCTGACGGGGTCACCTGCGAAGTCCCTAGAGTGAGATCCATCCCAATCCACTCTAGAAAGGTCCGTGCCCGTGATCAATAATTCTTAATTTGTAATTATTTAATTGTACAAAGTATACCTATTGGGTTCCAGGCTCGATATTTGAGGCCTAGTAGCACCAAACTATCATGAATAATTATGTGTGTCAAATTCAATATTTTGATTATTTTGTGTGTGTTTGTTTTATAATTTAAATTCTTAATTTATAATTGTTTAATTGTACAAAATATATATACCTATTGGGTTCCAGGCTCGATATTTGAGGCCCAGTAGCACCAAACTATCATGAATAATTATGTGTGTCAAATTCAATATTTTGATTATTTTGTGTGTGTTTTATAATTTAAATTCTTAATTTTTAATTATTTAATTGTACAAAATATATATACCTATTGGGTTCCATGCTCGATATTTGAGGCCCAGTAGCACCAAACTAGGGGCATTTGCATCTATACCCGTTTTTTGTGTCACGTTTTAACTTGTGCCCGCTTTGCAAAAAAATTGCAAGCGTACCAGCTTTTTCGCATAACTTCAGCATACGGGGCTGAAGTAGCAAAGACAATCACGCAAAACTTCAGCATTCTAATAGTCGGGCCTGAAGTTCAGCTCTAGAGCTGAAGTTTTTGTTTTGTAACTGGCGAACTTCAGCTCTAGAGCTGAAGTTTTTGTTTTGTAACTGGCGAACTTCAGCTCTAGAGCTGAAGTTTTTGTCTTTGTAAATGGGAACTTCAGCTCTAGAGCTGAAGTTTTTGTTTGTAACTCGGGCCTGAAGTTCAGCTCTAGAGCTGAAGTTTTTGTTTTGTAACTGGCGAACTTCAGCTCTAGAGCTGAAGTTTTTGTTTTGTAACTAGCGTACTTCAGCTCTAGAGCTGAAGTTTTTGTTTTGTAACTGGCGAACTTCAGCTCTAGAGCTGAAGTTTTTGTTTTGTAACTGGGGAACTTCAGCTCTAGAGCTGAAGTTTTTGTCTTTGTAACTGGGGAACTTCAGCATGTTTTATGCTTTCATGTTTTATGCTATCTGATCCAATCGTACTAAATAGTAAAAACTGTACTTATTCCAAATTGAATATTACAAACATCACAAGAGCCAATAAAACCTATGAACATGTAAGACATTTACGTAGTGTGTGCAAAAATGTACTCAGCATATCACACAGAAGAAACCCTCAAGTTCAAAATATTAGAAACAACAATTTTTCCTGCATTAGAAGAATTCTGTAGCATGATATCTTCACTTCATCATGAAATCAACAGTACATTTCTACTTTGGCTTCAATTTCAGAGCAGCACTGCACATATAAAATAAATTGTAAATCTCGAAGAAACATTAGAGAAAAAGTTTGCAGCAATGAAAGAAGAGGACATCCCACATTAAAGGAAGTAATGTACCTATTGATGCAGTAACGCTTTCCAGTAGGCGGAGGGCTTTGGAATAGAAAGGGGACTGAAGTTGTTTAAAAAGTGGGTACAAGTTAAAAGTTTTTAAAAAAATGGGTATAGGTTAAATGGGAGCGACCAAATAGGGCGCCCCCTGCAATTTTTACACCAAACTATCATGAATAATTATGTGTGTCAAATTCAATATTTTGATTATTTAATTGTACAAAGTATATATTTTCATCTACCAGTATAAGAAATACTTAAACTACAGGGATTCTATGCCAAAATACTCTACAGTTTACTACGCTAAAAGGTTCTACATTTTAGTAAGCTAATAAATAAACTAAATATAAACAACAAATACATTTTAATCACATAACATTCACAAAAATACATATAACATGCTAGTTTCGCAAATAAAACACAAAACGACATGGAAACACTAATAACTAAATCCGGATATTAACATAAAAAATTATTTCTCTATTTTACATTTTTTAGAACACTAATATCTAAGTCCGGATAAATATAACATACTACTTTCGCAAATAAAACACAAAACAACATGGAAACACATTCAATCAACTAATATGCATTATTATACAAGTTTCGATATAAACTAAATCAAAATACCTCAATGTAGTATTTTGTATGAAAATTTGAGTCCGAAGGAGTGAAACCACAATAATACGATGCTCTACTACTATGTGGGACCTACGTTCTTAACGTTTTGTGTGACGGGAGGGGCCCATAATTTTTTTTTAAACACGACAATGGGGGGGGGGGGGGGGGACCGAGAAACAGGTTGAAGTAAAAAAATGGGGAGGGCTCGTTCTGGTCGGGGAAGAAGACGAAGGGGATTTTATAATCAGGGGTATAGCGTGCTGTTTTTTTTACGCTATATATATAGCGTAAAAATACAGCACGCTATACATGTCAGTCAAATCGTCAGTATATATAGCGTCCAAATACAAGATGCTATACCTTAATTGCAAAGTTACCGTTAAGGTATAGCGTCTTGTATTTGGACGTTATATATAGAAAGGTAATTTTTTTTTTACACTTATTAATGTACTTTGAGTCCAAAAGAACCACAATTGGGTTCCGGACTCCCTTTTTGGAGACTATACCACGGTTTTAGCATGGCCCTGTCCAAAAATTGTACTAATATAAATACACCTTACGGATGCGGATGCAAGATTTCAAGAGAATGGGTGTACTTAGGGGTGGCAAACGGACGGGTCGGATATGAGCGGGCTAAAACGTGTAATTTAAAAAACGGATAAATTATTCGGCCCGACCCGTATTTGATACGGATAAAACACGGGTTTCTTATGAGAGAATTCCTAGTCTTCCAAACTTGAGTAACTCCAATTTGAGGCTTTACAAATGTTAAAGTTAAACACATTAGTTATCCATTGGTTATCCAGTTGGTTAACCATTTTCTAAGTGGATAATATGGTTCTTTATCCATGTTCGACCCGTTTTTAAATAGTTCATTATCCAACCCATTTTTTTATAGATAATATGGGTTGATAACTGTTTTCTTTTAACCATTTTGCCACCTCTAGGTGCACTATTGTGAAGAGGTGGATCTAGAATTTATATTTGATTGGTTTAACTTTAGTATATTACCATGACCCACTATACTTTTAAAATTACAGGTTCAAAATTATATTCTTTTTGAAATTTTAGTAATTTTCACATATATGTATCTATACTCCGTGCCGAAAATAAGACCCTTCAAAGTGGGATTTGAACTACCAATTTTACTTGTAATTGTGCACCCAATAATAATTGCACCATAATAGTCTTTGAGCATGGGTTCACGCACATATATTTAAGTAATTTTAAAAAAATATAACATTCATGGTTTAGGGAGAGGAGCATGGGTTTTGGTGATACTTCTTAGTTGTCATATTTCTCTTTTGGAGAGTCAATTTGATTAATCTTCCTTTTAAAATTAAATTTAGGTATTCAAAAACTATCTTAAAATAATACTTACAATTTAGGTATGAGATAAAGATAGTGGGTGTTTCGTGAGTTTCCATCTTCATGGCGCTCTAGTCAATTGGATAATACCCCCAAAGTCAAAAAAAATTATACCCATCACCATTCTGTTCACATGTTAGTAAGAATGTGATCCTTCTGAGAAAGTCCAAAAAAGTTTCAAATAATGGAGTTTTACTTACAAATTAGAATTGCACCCTTGTATTATTAATATAAGTCTTTCGTTTTGAGCCGAGGGTCTTTCGGAAACAATCTCTCCAAACCAAGGTTCATCTCGTGTAGTCATTGTGGACTCGTACAATGATATTGAGTAGACGGTTGATGTATCAGACTCGACCCTATCTTTTGTAGCATGCATTCCCATCCGTGTCGCAACTGATTCGGTAAGCTACGTGTCCGGTGCACGGAGAACTGCCTTCGGTCCCCCAAACTTACTTACTCGTGGCAACCTTCCGGCCGCCCAACGACCTATAACGCTAGTCACTACTCCCACTGGTAAAGGCTCCCATTGGGAGAAGCAGAAATTGTTGAGTGAGCGATCCAGCCTCTAGCCCTTCAATGATGGATTTGTCTTCAAAAAAACCCCAACCTCGGTAGAAAACGAACGGTGTACTCCCTCAGGGTAAGGGCAAGGTCTGCGTACACACTACCTTCCCCAGACCCCACTAGTGGGATTTTACTGGGTCGTCATTGTTGTTGTTGTTGTTCTTTGAGGGGATTCTGCACTAAAAGCTGTCTCTATGCTGCTTAGAGAATTCATATACTCCTGTTAACTTCAACCAGTTTAAAACCTAGGCATCTCCTTCACATTCAAGTGACCATTCACATGGAAATTAACTTTGTGCTGGCATAGTATATAACAAAGCTCATATGGTCAGGTGGGATCCAACCCAAGACGAGCAGCAAATATAAAAAAGACAGCAATAACTTACATTAATAGCAGAAATGTTTTCCTTCAATAACATGCAATGAGCAAAATAAAGATGCAAAAATGAAGCAAGCAAGTTTGCAAGCGGTATTGCAACTACACCCTAGCAAATAAACAAAATTTGTATTGCTTTTTCTGAGGACAAATATCATGTAGCAGTAGCACTGGTCTTCTTCTTCTTCTTCCTTGAGGCAAAGCTACTGGGTCCGATCTCAAGGGACATGCGTTTTGCCCTGCCAGGAAACAAAAAGTTGATGTTCACATATATTTAAATGCTTATCTATTAAACAACAAGAAACAATTATAGTCATCATTCAGGATTCTAACAACCTCCAACATGCCAGTTCAAGAGAGGAAGGATGCAAAAATAGAGGGGAAGGGAACGATTGTCAATATAAAACGTGTAGCAGGAGGCATGAAAAGTTCTACAAATTAACCATACCGCTTAGAAAGCTCTCCAGCATCATGGTGATCCTCTTCAATTCCTCCATCTGGTGACAGAAAATGTAGTAAGATCTTTCATGCATTCATCAAATACAAATTCAATAGACTGGTACTGAAAGAATAAAGACGCCCAAGCCGACTTAAGCTGTTAACCTAAACCTCAATACCACAGTATATGCTTATTGATCCTCAGAGCTTTATACCATATGTAGTATGGTCTAAAATATTTTGTTGTATAACAATTGGCTTTAGAAAAGAAAACAGAATAATTTATTCATGAAAAATATTTATGAGAAGGAAAAAACAGAATAACTACGACCGAATAGCTATTTCCTCATATTGGGATGGAAAATATTCAGCGAACATCTCCGTAAGAAGGTAAAAGCAGTTAATGTTGAGCTCCATCAAATTTAAGTCTATCATATTGGAGCATGAGCTGCAATTCACTAGCCACAAGCAGTATGTATAGAATATAATTTATCTTAGATAAAGAAGAGCTAGCGCATTCAAGATTGTGCAAGAACGATTTTAGCCCTTTGCCTCACCATCGCCAAATTTGTATGCCGTGTGTAGGTATTTATGTATCTGCTTACAGAATTATATGTGGGTTTTGGCGATTTCAACCTTATCCCTTTTTCAGAATTAATTAGAAATTTAGAATACATACCTTCGACATTAGCATCATCATCTTCTGGTCCTGATTCTGAACCAGATCCCCATCGATCACCTCCATCATCATTGTCCCAACGTTCACCAGCTGGGGGCATCCAAAATTCGGCGTCTTCTTCCGAGTCACTGTTCTTTCCAGAAGAATCCCTTATTTCTGATATAATCTTGCTAGCATCTTCTGTTTCTTTCTTTTTGTTTTTCTTCTTGTCCCGACGATTAGCTTTGCTATCTGTCTTCTTAGCTGCTTCATCTTCTCCTTGCTTTTCTAGCCCTCCGTTTTCAATTTCATTTTCAGTTTCCTTTTTCTCTGTTCAAATTAGTGCATGTATCATTAGTGGTACTCAATAGAATGCACAAGAACATAACATACATAAAGACCTTTGTATAAACAACTCACTGGAGGCTCGTTACAAACCTAACATTTTGAGGAACCGTTTCCCATTAATATGCTTCCATAAGTGCTCCTCAGACTTATTAACTGTATCTCCTGTTAATTTACATATCAATTTTGACCTGCAAGAATTCAACATTAAATTACAGTACGGATGTAAACCAGCAGAAACCCAATAGGAAAGTACACACACACACATATATATTTTCCTCCATAATTTCCAACAGATTTTGGTCCTAGCATGCAACAAACGACTGATTTCTATGTGGTATATCCAAAGTTTTCATTTTTATTTTTACAAGGAGCCAAAGTATTCCAACAGATTGCTACAGCTTTTCACAATTCAAATTATCACATAATACTAAGTTTTTTTTGACCCTGTAGTATCCGGGTTAACTTGTGCGCCCCTCAACTCTTCCACCGTACCACCTCCCACCACCACAGGCACCGGATAACTCTGCACAGCAAGGCTTAGGGAGATGAGAAGAAATCACCTAATGTTTCTTTTGTCTCCGCTGAAATTTGAACTAGAGACCTCATGGTTCTCTTTTTCACACGTCATACCAAGGTCTTAAGCAGTATAAGTGCTTTATAATGCCTTTTCAATATTCACTATACAATATTCCGTTATGTTAATAGGAATAGCGAACCAACCTGATATATACCGACTAGGAGAGGATTTCTTCTTGATAAATGTGGTATACGGGACAGCTTCGACTAATCCCACGGGATACCTCCTACCTCCCACCAGCTTAGGTACCGGGCAACTCTTTGTGGATTTTTTAGGGGGTATTATCACTTTTAGCCCGCGTCAGAAACTATTTATAGCCCAAAAAAAATATACAAAATTTGTATAATTTTTGTATATAACATGTAGAATGTATATATATACAAAAAATATACAAATTTTATAGTACATTTTTGGCTATTATTTTTAGCTATACAGTGTCATTTTTCCATTTTCTAGGCAAGGTTCCTTTATATTTTTAAACCCTTCTCCCTCGCTTGATAGTGCAAGATATCATTAAAATGCTATAGCTTGAACGCTCCAATTAATTCATTTTTTCAAACTACTAATCTACTCCTATTTCCTGTAGAGCTTCACTAGTTTTATAAGTTCCTAATGAAGGTTCAACTATTACCAGTGTGTCGTACACCAAATTCAGCAGATATAATAATCTCCATTACTTAAAAAAAAATCATTTTACCGCTTTCTATTATAAAACCCTAGTAAAAGAATAATTAAGGAAAGAGGAAACAGTTTCAATTTACCGATTGAAAGGGTCTTGGTCGAACATGTTGAGAGGAGGTTTATTTTTAGAAAGAGCAGCATCGATTAGACCCAATCGGCAGTGCTTGCTTTGAGCATAAGATTCCCTGGCGTGCGCCGGCAGCTCGTGGCCTGTTTCCACGCATTTGTAGCGGCCATTCTCCAACTTTTTGAATCTCGGCTTCCCCAACAAATTGAAACCCTCTTTCCCACTGGAGCTATCGCCTTCTTCTCCTCTTTCTCCTTCTCCTCCCCTGCTTGCTTTTTTCCCCATTGGTTTTGTGCAGTGTAACAAGCTGAGTTGAGTTCTCGTTAGGGCAAAGCAGAGGAAGTAGGAGCTCAGTTTAACGATGCATAAATTTTGTTTTGACCCCCACTAGAAAAGGAAATAGGTAAACAAGTCCCTCTAATTTTCCAAATTTTACTTCTTATTTTTTCCTATATTTGAGGTACATATAGCGGAATAAAGGGAAGAAATTCAAAAATAGCAAGATTTACCACTGGTCGTTGAAAAATAACCAAGTTTCAAAAGTCATCGAAATTTAGCCACTTTAAATCTGAGCGAAAACACTGTTCAAAATCCAAAAAAATACGCCCGCAAATTTTACGGGAGTTCCAGCATAAGTATGCTGGAACTCCCGTAAATTTTACGGTTATGCTTGAACTCCCGCAAATTTTACAGGAGTTCGAGCAAGTATAATTGTCCAGTATAATATACTAGAGTTTGGAGCACTGGTACTCCACTCTCCGGCAAATTTTACAGGAGTTAGCAAAGTATACCGGTCCAGCATAATATGCTGGAGTTCGTACACAAATGCACCAGAATTCTCGTATATTATACTGGACCGGTCCCTGTTGCAGCAAAATAGTGGCTATTTTTCATTGACTTGGTAAACGCTGGCTATTTTTCATTGACCAGTGTGAAAACTGGCTATATCATGATATTTTAACGGAATAGAGGGTAGCGTAGCATCCCTTCCCCTTTAAATGTCCCTCGATGTAATTAAAAGAATTATAAAAAATATGGGTGAATAAAATGATAACGAATAAATTTTATGGAATTAGAGACTTTTAATTTAATATACGTAAACTCAATTTGTAGTGTTAAGGTGCAACTCTAATCCTGTTCTAAATGAAATTTTAAGTTGTTTTACTTTGGATCTTTAACTGCAGCAAATTAAGGGGTATTATCACTTTTAGCCCGCGCCAGAAATTATTTACATTCGTTAGTCGAAAAAGTATATAATTTTTGTATATAACATACATAATGTATATTTATAAAAAAAAATTATAAAACATATTGTAATTGTTTACCCTAAAATACGAGTAACAATTAAACTTGTTTTGTGGTCTTAAAGATACGTGATTTAGTCCAATACTAACTACTCCCTCCGTTTCAATTTATGTGAACCTGTTTGACTGGGCACGGAGTTCAAGAAAAAATAAAGACTTTTGGAATTTGTGGTCCTAAACAAGTAAATAAGGTGTCCAGAGTATTTGTGTGGTTATAAAAGTTTCTCATTAAGGGTAGAATTGTAAATTTAAGCTAATATATTTTCAAATTTAGAAAGGGCTCATTCTTTTTGGAACGGACCAAAAAGGAAATAGGTTCACATAAACTGGAACAGAGGGAGTAATAACCAAGAAACCAAACCACAATTCTAATTGTAGTAGGGAATCTTATTATACAGTTGTCTAACCGCCTAGTACAAATCAGTTCCGAAATTTACGTCGTGATCCTAGGGCCACCGCGGGAATCTCGCTCTTTCTGTTATAAAACCATAACGGTATCATCTCGAGGTTGGTCGTACTCGGTCCCGGCGTTCATCGAGTATTCCGATCTTCGAGTATAGTATTCTGCCACCGGGCTCGAGCCTGGCTCATATCGAATTTGATTCTCGATGCGACCCCTCGAGCCTACAAAATCAGGGGCACGTGATTTTACCATATACAAACAGTCCCCGCGTTTCTTAGAATAAAATAATAAGAAACGACTTGAGCCTCGATTTTTCGGAGTCCTTGATGATGATGTCATTCCCGTGACGTAGGCGCTCGAAATGAACGAAACGTCCCGTTAGTTCGCTTCCCCAAACATTAAATGTTCACCAGTGGTGGTCTGGCATTAACGCCGTTGAATCATCGCCGATTGCCTATAATACAAGGTTCAATTTCTGAAAAACATTACTTCAATCTTCTGACCACCTTCAAACTCCTTTTACCTCTCCCTGTCTTCATCTCTTCTATCTCATTACCCGTTACCTGATTCTTTTTAGCGCCGAAAAAACACCAGGTTCCGCCTACTTCCGCCTTTACTAATCCAAATCAATGGCAAAAACTTCCAAAACAGTTCCTCAAAAAGAGAAAGCTTCCTCCTCCTCTTCCCGGCCGGCCAAACTTATGGCGCCGGCCCTTCACGAGATTATTCTCGGCCCCTGCATTATAAAGAAAGACTTTAACGTTGAAAATCCCCCCGCAATCCCTGGCCGATGCGAGCATGTATCCCAGTATATCATCTCGATAATGAAGAAGCACCTCAAGGTCGTGAAGAAAGACTGTGGCTGGGGGGACGAGGTCGTGGTACAGATCCCCGACCCCGAGGAGAGCATTACCACTCATGTGGAGGGGTTCCTAAGTGTTTACACTTACCCCTTCACACTGGGTCTCCTCGATCCAATCGTGATCGACTTCTGCAAAAAATATCAAGTCACCCTCGGCCAGATCCACCCTTCTTTCTGGGTATAGTGATTATGCTGTGCTACTTCTCTATCAAGGCCGAGGGACTAGAGTTCACCCTCAATCACCTCATCCGATTGTATCGGCCTCAGCTTTTTCGAGGGTTGATCAAGCTCTAACGCCGATCGAGCAAAGCCTTCTTCGCTAGCAATGACGAGGATGAGGACCGAGGCTGGATGAGCCGGTTCGGCCGAGTGAGGACCTCGAACGTCATCCCCGAGGGGAAAATGTTGTTCCCAGAGAAATGGAACCCCAATCGTAAGTGAAGTCCTTTTCCCAGTAACCTCTTATATTCCATTTTCGTATTATGTGATGCATTTACCTTTTTTGCAGTGGTTGCTTGGATGCCCCATGCGATCCCCGACATCGAAGACTGGGTCCAGAAATTAGCTGCGATCTCCTCGTATGACGAGCACAAATGGCGTGACTTGTCGAGGGGCAAATGGGAGGCCAAACACCACGGTTAGTTCTTCTCCCAAGTCTTTGATGCTTTCCCTTTTATTGGAGATGTCATCTTACTTATGCCTAGTTTTCATTCATGCAGGCATTGTAGATGTCTCTGAAATAAGGCCAGCCCCGCCTGGGGAAGAGACCGAGTCCCCGATTCCAAAATCGGGGAAAGATAACAAGAGAAAAAGGGCTTCGAAACCCGAATACCCCCAAGATAAGAGGGCCCCTACTTGAAGGCAAAGGAGGAAACTCATTCACCTGGACATAGACTCAGTCCATCAACTGAATGATGAAGAAGAAGACGAGGGCGAAGAATCGGCGCTGGTGACCGAGTCAGGAAGCCAATTAAAGCCGTCAAGCCCTCAGAACCAGAGACCCTGCCTCGTGGTGAGGAGGCTCCGAAGAAAGACGCAGGCAAAGCCCCCGAATCGCCTAAGGTCGAGATTGTTCCTCCAACTTCAACAAGTACACCAAAGGGGACAAGTACCGAGACTCCCGGGGCTGAATAGAGCGCCCCGAGCGACTTGCTCGGGGCCATGACAATAGGTCACCCTCCTCCTCTACCATCTTATTCTGAGGAGGCAATAAATGAAGCTCAAGCTCTGCAAACGCCTGACCCGAGCAGAGTCCCCGGTGAAGAAGATCCTTTTCGGGATTGCTTTACTGGGGTCGATGATGCCGCCGACCTCAACGATGCATCTACCCTCTTTCAAGAGGCTCATCGTCTTTTCTCTCGGTTAAGCATTAGCTCCTATCATTGTAATTTTTTCTTCTCCCCTTTACTTAACTGATATCTCTTTTTCTGCGTAGGCCATTACTAGGTTTAGGGCCGATCTGAGCCAATGTGAGGCCGAGCTCAAGAAATCCTCGGACAAAGGGAAGGCTCTGAAACTCTTTTGCATCGAAAAGGAGGAAGAGCTCAAAGACCTTCAGGCAGACTTGGCCAAAGCTCGCAAAAATGAGGCCGAGCTAGACAAGCAGGTAACCGTCATTTTGAAAGAGTATGGACTACATGAGCCAACTGTGGAGGCTAGCACTTCAGTGTCTCAGCTGCAGCAAAAACTGGAGATAATCGGGCAGCTTCGTGGGGAGGTCGTCCAGGTTAAGGCCGACTGCAACCGGTGGAAGGAAAATATGGATCAACTTGCTGCTGAGAAAGAGGCTGCTCTAGCAAAACTTGCCTCGGCTGAGACCCAGCTCCGGGGTGCTAAAGTGAAAAATCTGGCCCAGGCCAAAAAGATCGATGAGCTCGAGGCCAAACTTGCCGCAACCGGGGCTGAGTTTGCCGAAGCCAGGGCCGAGGTCGAGAAGACGAAGGCCATGGATGATAAAACCGTTATTGTGTACCTAAGGGATGCTGAAGGTGCTCAAATGGAACTAAGGGAAGCCTCCAACCGGGAGAAACACAGCAGTGATTTGGCCAAGTGTCAATCCCAGAGGGAGACCCTCGAAGAGATCCATGCTCGAGGTTTCGACCTCACCGAGGAGATAGCCCAAGCAAAAGCGCTCGAAGCCAATGTCAAGTTTCCCATCTCCTCCTCCGACGATGATCATGCCGAAGGCAGCCAAAGCGGGTCCGATAATGAAGTTGGGCCCGAAGAGGAAGCTGCTCCCGAGGGAGGGACCAGCCCTAGGCATATATAGGATTTTTCTTTCTCTTTTTGTATTGTTCTTTTTGTAAGACCTTTTATCAGTCTCTTGTATATATCTTTTTCCAAGTATATAAAAGAAGAATTTCCTTGAAATTTTTCTCGATGTTTCCTACCTTACAAATTTTTTGAAGTAATTTCATTCTTTCAACGGTGTGTTCGAGATTTTATCTCAGACGGTTTCTTTGAAATTGCCAAGGTCGAGTTCGAATAAGGTTCAAACTTTGGGGCATAGATCTTTATGAGCTCATGCCGGATAACGTGAGTCCCCGAGCCATAATCAAGTTATTATTTATCTAGGCTCTAGATAATCGAACCCTTGGATTCAGATCGGGTGAGAACAAGATCTCGAGCCCTAAGTGTATTGGCCTTTAGGCTCTTTTAGATCTGGCCATTATGGCCTCTATGAGATGACTATTATTTTCCCTTTTCGGCTCAGAAGACTTAGTAAAAATTTATGCCTTGGCATGCATTTTTTACCCAATGGGTTTTTTGAGGGTTGGGTGTCGATCGGAACCCTTTGTTTTTAGTGCTTTAGCACAAGTTTGTATTTGAATAATTCGATACCTCTTAAGGTTTTTCGAGGGATGATTTTATCGAAGCCCTTTGATTATTTTGCCGAGGGTAGCCTTTATTTAACCAGTTTTTTGAGAATTCGAAGGCCTGCTTTTATTACGGAATTCGGACGTCTCCGAGCCGCGTTATTTTGGCCGTAGCCTTTCATATGGCCGTAGCCTTCGGGTGTGTCTCTTGGACTGGTTTCCCGATAATATTTTGAACTTTTTCGAAATTTTAGTCCCCGAGTATGATGGCCTTGGCCTTTGCGTCGAGGTATGCCTCTTTGAGGTCTTATAAATTCGAGTTTAGACAACTCGCATGTATTGACTGTCGATGACAGTCCCCGAGTATTCGAGGTGTATTTGTGTTTTGGCCCTTGAGCCGTTTCTCGCAGAATCACAAGTATGGAGCTCGCATAGTAGAAAATTTCTTTGAGATACAAAGTGTTTGATATAGAAAGAATGCTTCTTTGAATAACTTATGCATACGTACATCTTTTGCCATTGGGGCTCGATTATCCTATATGGAAACGGTTCGTCTGACCGTTTGGCCCATTACAAAGTTTTCCTATCGAGGTCCTCTTTGGCGTGAAGTATTTTTCTCGAAAATATAACCTCCGAGGGTGATGTCCCCCAGTATTCGAGGTTGATAGAAAAGAAGCCTTGGATACTGTTGAATTCTCCTTAGGTAGAACATAGTCGTTGCCTCGTCAAAAACCTCCCCGGAAAAACCCATTTGGGGTAAAACTCGGTCTAAGGGAAAAAGAGTGCAACGCGTGCTTTAAAACCTAAGGTCTTCGTGTAGAAGGGTGCCCTCGACGTCTTCGATCGAACAACTGCAACGAGTTAGTCTTATGTATAAATGGGGAAAAGGAGAAGGTCATACCTTAGCAGTAATATCGTTTGAGTAGTGATACATTCCAATTGTTTGGCAATTGTTCGCCTTCCATCGTGCCAAGTTTGTAAGATCGTCTACCAATAACTATGATGACTCGGTACGGTCCTTCCCAATTCGGGCCTAGTTTCCCTTCATTCGGGTCTCGAGTTTAAGGGTGACTTTCCGTAGAACTAAGTCCCCGATTCCGAAATATCGAAGGTTGGTCCTTCTATTATAATATCTTTCGATTCTTTGCTTATGCGCGGCCATCCGAGCAAGCGTAGCTTCTCGTTTTTCATCTAATAGCTCGAGGATAGTATTCATAGCCTTGTGATTTGATTCATCCTATGCATGTTGAAATCTGGCGTTGGGTTCCCCGACCTCGACTGGAATCAAGGCCTCGGAGCCATATACTAAGGAGAACGGGGTTGCCCCCGTGCTGGACTTTGATGTCGTTCGATATGCCCAAAGAACCTCAGGCAAAACTTCTCTCCATTTCCCTTTAGCGTCGTTCAACCTTTTCTTCAAGTTTTGAATGATAGTCTTGTTTGTCGATTCGGCCTGCCCATTCTGCTCGGATGATATGGCGTTGATAAAATCCTTTTTATTTTGTGTGCTTCGAGGAACTCCGTTACCTTATTGCCGATGAATTGCTTGTCGTTGTCGCATACGATTTCGGCAGGTATCCCGAATCGATATACGATGTGGTCCCAGATGAAGTCAATAACTTATTTTTCTCTGACCTTCTCGAAGGCCTGTGCTTCCACCCACTTAGAAAACTAGTTAGTCATAAACAAAATGAATTTAGCTTTACATGGGGCCGTTGGTAGAGGGCCGACGATATCCAATCCCCATTTCATGAAGGGCCATGGGGACATGACTGAGTGAAGTTGCTCTCCGGGATGATGAATCAACGGTGCGAACCTTCGACATTTATCACAAACTCCTTAGTGTCTTTTTCCATGCTATCCCATTAATACCCTGCTCTAATAATTTTGCAAATCAAAGACTCGGCGCCGGAGTGGTTTCCACAAGTGCCTTTGTGGATTTCTCGTAGAACATAATCGGTATCCCCCGGCCTAAACATACCGCCAATGGTCCATCGAATGTCCTCTTGTACAATGTTTCATCTTCATCCAATGTGAACCTAGCAACCTTGGTTCGTAGAGCCCTTGACTCTTTATGATCCGATGGGAGTTTTCCATTTTTCAAATATTTGATATATTTATTCCTCTAATCCCAAGTCAAGCTAGTAGAATTTGTCTCGGCATGACCCTCCTCGACCACGGGCCTCGATAATTGGATGACAGTCCCCGGGATAATATCATCTTCCTCGACTGATGACCCCAAGTTTACAAGTGCATCTGCCTCACTGTTTTGCTCTCGAGGTACATGGTCTAGAGTCCGTTCCTTGAAGCGATGCAAGGTACCTATAGCTTGTCCAAATATCTTTGCATTCTATCCGTTCGAACTTCGAAGCTTTTGTTTACTTGGTTTACCACCAATAGAGAATCGCACTTGGCTTCAACGACTTCTGCCCCCAAGCTCTTAGCTAGCCCGAGACCTGCAATCATGGCCTCATACTCGGCCTCATTATTAGTCAACCTAGAAGTTTTGATAGATTGTCTAATAATGTTACCTGTAGGCGGCTTCAAAACAATGCCAAGCCTGGACCCTTTCACATTCGAAGCACCGTCTGTGAAGAGGGTCCATACCCCTGATGATGTACCCGATTTTAGCAGAAGTTCCTTTTCCATTTTGGGTACGAGGGTTGGTGCAAAGTCGGCCACGAAGTCAGCTAAGATTTGAGACTTAATGGCCGTTCGGGGTTGATATTTGATATCGTACCCGCCAAGTTCGACGGCCCATTTGGCCAATCAGCCCGATAACTCGGGCTTGTGCAAAACATTTCGGAGAGGATAAGTGGTTAAGACACATATAGGGTGGCACTGGAAATATGGCTTTAACTTTCTAGATTCGCTTATTAATGCAAGTGCCAATTTCTCTAAGTGTGGATACCTAGTTTCAGCATCTTCTAAAGTCCGACTTACGTAATAAACAGGGAACTGCATACCTTGCTCTTCTCGAACTAGTACACCACTTACCGCTATTTCGGACACTACCAAATATAAGTATAGCTTTTCATCTACCTTCAGAGTGTGAAGCAGAGGTGCGCTCGATAAGTATCGCTTCAGTTCCTCCAATGCTTGCTGGCACTCTGGGGTCCAAGCGAAATCATTTTTCTTTTTGAGTAAGGAAAATAACCTATGGCTTCGATCTGATGACCTCGAGATGAATCGGCCCAAGGCGGCTATCCGTCCTGTTAGCCTTTGTACGACTTTCACACTGTCTACGATAGTGATATCCTCGATGGCCTTGATCTTGTAGGGGTTGATTTCGATTCCCCGATTTGATATCATGAAGCCGAGGAACTTGCCCAAGCTGACCCAAAGGCACATTTTTCTAGATTAAGCTTCATGTTGTACTCCCTCATGATTTCGAATGTCGCCTACAAATGAGTCAAATGGTCCTCTGCGCGCAGGGACTTAATTAACTAGCATGTCATCAATATAAACTTCCATTGATTTACCTATTTGTCTTCAAACATCTTATTTACTAGGCGTTGGTAAGTAGCCCCTGCGTTTTTAGCCCAAAGGGCAGTACATTGTAACAACATGTTCCAAACTTAGTGATAAACGAGGTCTTCTTCTGGTCTTCTGGGTTCATCTGAATTTGATTGTACCTGGAGTAGACGTCGAGAAAGGTAAGGATCTCGTGGCCAGCCGTGGCATCGATCATACGATCGATGTTAGGCAGTGGAAAAGAGTCTTTAGGGCATGCCTTGTTTAAATCCTTGTAATCTGTGCACATTCTAAGTTTGTTCCCTTTTTAGGGACTACAACTACATTTGCTAACCACTCAGGGTATTTTACCTCCCGAATGGACCCTATTTTGAGAAGTTTAGTTACCTTGTCCTTTATGAATGCATGCTTCACCTCGGGCTGGGGCCTTCTTTTTTGCTTTACAGGTTTGAACTTTGGATCGAGGCTTATCCGGTGTGTTGTTATTTCCGGTGGGATCCTTGTCATGTCTAAATGGGACCAAGCAAAATAATCCATGTTATCGATAAGAAATTGAATGAATTTTTTCCTGAGTTCAGGGGTTTAACCCATTCCCAGGTATACCTTTCTCTCAGGCATATACTCGATCAGTATGACCTGTTCCAGCTCCTCGACCGTTGACTTGGTTGCATCTGACTCTTCGGGAACAACGAAAGCTCGAGGAGTAAGGAAATCCTCTTCTTCTTCGATTACCCGTTTCTCCGATTCAGACGAGCCTGGGGACGGTGATTGCTATTTGGCTGTCTGCTTATCTTTGGTGTTCGATTTTTTTGAGGTCGAAGGCGCCGGTATCGGTGTCACCTCATCGACTGCAAACATTTCCTTTGCAGCGTGTTGTTTCCCGTAAACCATTTTCACACTATCCACTGTTGGGAATTTCATCATCTGATGAAGGGTCGATGGTACTGCCCTCATGTTGTGGATCCATGGCCTCCCGAGTAGTGCATTATATCTCATGCCGCCTTCAATGACATGGAATTTTGTATCTTGTATGGTCCTGGCCATGTTCACTAGTAGGATTATCTCCCCCTTCGTTATTTAACTTGCCATGTTGAAGTCGTTTAGGACTCGAGATGCAGGTACAATTTGGTCTTGTAGGCCGAGTTGCTCTACGACCCTTGATCTGATTATGTTTGCTGAGCTACCTGGATCCACTAGAACACGTTTAACTTGAATTTTATTTAACAAATTAGAAATTAACAGGGCGTCATTGTGCGACTGAGAAATTCCTTCCGCTTCCTCGTCATTGAACAATAGGATGCCCTCGGTCACATAACTCCGAGTCCATTTTTCTCTAGTAATCGACACTTTGGTACGTTTGAATATAGGCCCTTGGGGAACATCGACCCCGCCAACGATCATATGAATTACATGTTGTGGCTCTTCCTGCTCATTCTTTCTGTTGGCGTCTCTTTCTCTGAAGTGATTCTTAGCTCGACCACTGAGAAACTCTCGAAGATGACTCTCGTTGAACAATCGAGCTACCTCCTCCCTCAGCTGTCTGTAGTCTTCGGTCCTATGGCCATGCATGCCATGATATTTACACATCAAGTTTGGATTTCTTTGAGAAGGATCGGTTTGTATAGGTCTAGGCCACCTGTGTCTTTGATCCTTCTGATGGCCGACACGATCCCCGATGCATCGACACCGAAATTATACTCCGATAACCGAGGTGCCTCTACTGGATCGGTATGTTTATCAAAACCATTCTTACTCATAAGTCCCCAAGAATTTTTTCCTCAATCATTTCTTCGATCATTCCGAGGAGGATTGTGCCCCGAACCGTTGTTTCTTCGATCTGCGATGGCTGATACCGTTCCCTATTTGATCTCGGTTCCCTATCGGTATCCCTGGGGGCTTTAACTGCCAATCTATTTGGTGAACTGAACCCAAAGGGCCCCCCAGCTGGTCGTCCTCAACCCTGATCTTCGATTGGTAACGATTATATACATCTGCCCAAGTCACGGCTGGATATCCGATCAGATTTTGCTTCAACTGTCGTGACGCGATCGAACCCCACTCGTTCAACCCCTGTCTAAAAGCTTGCACGGCCCAATCATTTGAGATTGATGGTAATTCCATTCGCTCCATTTGAAATCGGGATACGAACTCTCTTAGCATTTCATTACCCCTCTGTCTTATCTTAAAAATGTCCGATTTCGTTGTTGCAACCTTTATAGCCCCGGCGTGTGCCTTCACAAAACCGTATGTTAAAATAGCAAACGAATCGATGGAATTCGGTGGCAAGTTGTGATACCAAATCATTGCTCCTTTTGACAAAGTTTCCCCAAAACTTTTCAACAATACTGACTCGATCTCATCATCATTTAAGTCGTTTCCTTTAATCCCGCATGTGTACGAGGTGATGTGTTCATTAGGATCGCTCATCGCGTTGTACTTAGGTATATATGGCATACGAAACTTCTTGGGAATGGGCTTCGGAGCCGCACTCGGAGGGAATGGCTTTTGTACGAACTTTTTGGCATCCAAACCTTATAAGATCGGGGGTGCCCCCGGTATTTGATCAACACGGGAGCTATATGTCTCCACTTTTTTGTCATTATCCTCAATCTTTTTCTCCCCCGACTCAATTCTTTTGGTGAGTCCGCGAGAATCCTCATAATCGTGGGATCGATCCCCGAGCCATTACTGTTTGATCTTTCTGGCACCGGCTAAGTTCGGCGAGTAATTTCTAGTTCGACCACACTTGGAGTTTTATGCTGACTTTGAAGCTGAGTGATAACAACCTGTTGAGCTTGTAGCATCTCGAATATTACTTGGAGGCTAACTCCCCCATCTCCTATACCCTATGTTCCTTGGCCACCAGGTCGTACTTCCCTGCGTACACTACCTCCGGGTCTGCGCCTAAGTCCGCATTCAAAGCAATGTATGAACTAACGTCGACTGGTTGTACAATCGGCACTTCCCCAGGGTTAATCGGTGGTACACCGGCTCCCGGAGCAACTACATTGTTATTTTTCTTGTGAAATCCAAGACCATCATCGCCATGTACGGGTGCGTTTTATGAGTTTGACATGTTTTAACCTGAGAACAAAAATTCTTGACAAGAACAAGTGTGAAAATAACGTGTGTTATCAGAATCACTACTGAAATAATCACTATTATCTTTAGCCCCATGGTGGGGGCCAAACTGTTTACCCTAAAATCCGAGTAACAATTAAATTTGTCTTGTGGTCTTAAAGATACGTGATTTAGTCCAATACTAACTAATAACCAAGAAACCAAACGTATAAATTAAAGAGGTAAGTTGAATCAAACCAATGTTTAAGCAAGTCTTGACCTCGAGCTATGATGGCCTCGAGGTAGGTCAACAAGAACGGTAAAGTAAGGACAATAAAGTTAAGAGACAATTCTGATGAGTAATGAGCAAGAAACTAAGAGTGTATATTCTTTTGCCAATGATTGATTGTCCCTTACAAATGATTGGAGTCCCCTTTATATAGTAGGGGAATCCTAAATAAGGTACAATTCTAATTGTAGCATGGAATCTTATTATACAGCTGTCTAACTGCCTAGTACAAATTCGTTCCGGAATTTACGTCGTGATCTTAGGGCCACCGCGGGAATCTCGCTCTTTCTGTTATAAAACCATAACGGTATTATCTCGAAGTTGGTCGTACTCGGCCCCGGCGTTCATCGAGCATTCCGATCTTCGAGCATAGTATTCTGCTATCGGGCTCGAGCCCGGCTCATATCGAATTTGATTCTCGATGCGACCCCTCGAGCCTACAAAATCTGGGGCATGTGATTTTACTATATACAAATATACATTTTTCGGCTATTATTTTGAGAGCTACTATAAGTGTCATTTTCCGCAAATTAATGGAATGAAATAGGATTACATATGTGGTGTGCTATTTGAATATGTTAAACTACTCTACACAAAATGCAGTATCTTGAAAATCATGAATATATCCTGTATTCTTTTTTTGTTTCTTTCTTCTTTTGCATAAAAAGCATAGAAGACAACAATTTCTTCTTTTCCTTAGGCAACAAAAGGTTTAGTATTTCCTAGATGAGCCTTCTGTTTCATTTTTAATTGAAAGAATGACATCACAAATTTAAGATCGTACTTCGAAACCTTTATAGACACATTCTTAAGAATCATACAATATTATAAGCATGAATAATTTAACATATTTAAGATCATACGATTCAAATAATACATTTGGTACGTCGTGTAATATAAAGAGAACTTGTGTGTACGAAGTCTCGTTTTCTTGAATTCTCAAATTTCATGCTCAATCAAATACAATCATGTAAAATAAAAAGAAGGGAGTAATTATTAATGTTATCAGATGAAACTCAATTCTTTTAGTAGTACTAGTTTCTTGCATTAGCTTTATTGTAAAGCTTTGCAAGTAACAATCCTGTTGTATTTCCTTTTCTTCTCACGAAAGTTATATACAAAGTATTTGCAAATCGTTCTACTAATTTAAGAGTAATATGAAAAGTAATGGTTGTCTTGACCATAGGCATACCTAGGATTTGAAGGTGACGGAAGTACATGAGTGAAATAACTCAACCAATGCCTCTATTGGACTTCTCTTTAAGCGTTCCAAGCAAAATATATGATCGTTTTCAACATATATACACTTACATATTTTGAAATTTTACCGAAGTTAACAGGGTTCGGTGACCCCACCCCCAAAAATAGGTCCGCCTCTGGTCTTGACATACAGTTCGAAAAGTATTTCATTACGGCTTTCTAGTTTATATTTGTTAGTACAATTTACTAGAATCTTAAGAAGACAACAGCCAGAATATTCAATAATTGTTTAGAGCAAAATCTGCAACAGAAAAGAACAAAGCAGAAGTAACGAGAATAATGCTACTGCTTACTTTTTCATTCCCCTCAAATGCTTCAAAAGTTTAAACCACAGAACACATGATTTGCATGAACATTTTCAGTTGTTTCTGCTTTCTACAAATATTCAGTACTGTCCATTCTGTTTCTTTTTTTCTTTCAGTTGGAATTAATGAGCAGGAGGGAAATGGAATGTGCAAGAGTAATGTTAACTGGAGTAATATTTTCACTAGTACTTGCTCCCTTAAAGAGTGTAGCAACTGACTCTGATAAGAACATCAGCAGGACTGATTTGCCACCATGTAATTTTCCGGCAATTTACAATTTCGGGGACTCGAATTCAGACACCGGCGGCATTTCAGCAGCATTTCAACCAATACAAGCACCTTATGGTGAGAGCTTCTTCCACAGACCTGCTGGAAGGCTTTCAGATGGTCGTCTTCTCATTGACTTTATTGGTAATCGACTTCTCTTAGCATGTAAAATAAGCCCCCCCCCCCCCCCCTCCTCCCCTGCTAGCTGCTACAGAGGCAGAGGCGGGGCCAGGATTTCAAGTTTATGAGTTCAGGATTCTAGTTCTTTTAAGTTACTGGGTTCTAACTTAATAATTTGTGCGTATTCAAATGAATTTCTTAAGACAAATATAAGGTTTGGACCAGAGCTACTTGGTTCGGCCGAACCCGTAACCGAAGGGCTGGCTCTGCCCCTGAGCTGCTAGTGACGCTCTTTGATGCAATGACATAAAATGCTAGGCAGTTAGAAGGTGTTAGGAATTTGGTAAGCATGGATGTTCTTTAAATGATGCAGCACGGATACAGAGAATTTAAATAACCGGCCCCAAGATTAAGGGATAAGCTTCATCGTCAAGAGGGAAATAGCTTGGATCAACAGCTCAAATTCTTAAATGACCACTCAGTGATAAATGAGGTAGGGATGCAGAGACAACTAGGAAGTTTGCCTAGAAGCTACCTATGAAAGAGTGCATACTAGCTCATTGATAACGCTCTTGCGTCAGAGATGAACGGCCTAAGTATGTCTGCAGAAACTGTGAGCTGTAAAATACGAGCATGCAAACTTAGAGTTAGAGAAGTCTCCGCACGAGCAGTGGTGAACAAAGTGGGAACAAGGAATGTCGACTTGAATAACACATTGAGCAAATAATCTCTAATTGAAAGATTTCTCGATTAATATCATTACTCATATGGGACAGTTAATTGATTGTGGACGTTTCTTTATGCAGCTGAGCACCTGAGACTACCCTACTTGAGTGCCTATCTAGATTCCATTGGCTCAAGTTTCAGGCACGGAGCCAATTTTGCAACAGGAGGATCCACCATTCGTAGGCAAAACCAGACTATATTCCAAAGTGGTATTAGCCCCTTTTCACTGGACGTTCAAATGATGCAGTTCCATCGCTTCAAAGCCAGAACTGAAGAGCTCTATAGACAAGGTAAAAAGAAACTAATGCAACTCAATCATTGACCTGTTACTAGCAAGTCACATCATTTAAGCTAATTTGATACAACTATAACTATGTCTCAGCGATAGACTTGTCAGAGAAGAACAAACTCCCTCGTCCTCGCGAATTTTCAAAGGCTCTCTACACACTTGACATAGGCCAAACTGACCTAGCTGTTGGTTTCCCCCAGATGAGTAATATACAACTTCGGGCAGCCATACCAGACACAATAAACCAGTTCTCTGCAGCAGTTACGGTATATGCAACTTTATCAATTTTAATCTGAGTTTAACTTCTATACACTAATCATGTAAAACCACATTGTTAGTGTAAAAATTACATACATTGTCAGTGTATATAAGTTAAATTCTTTTAACATAGGTAGTGTTGTAGGCACTAATTATGAAGAAAAATGGTATCTTTGTTTCATAATTTATGACAGCGTCTATATCAACAAGGGGCGAGGGCATTTTGGATACATAACACAGGTCCAATTGGATGCTTGCCAACAGCCACATTATACCTCAGAAATCCAAAACCAGGTGTTCTTGATAATTATGGATGCTTAAAGAGCCAGAATAAGATGGCCTTAGAGTTCAATAGACAGCTGAAAGCCAGGATAAGAACACTGAGGGCAGAGCTTGGGCATGCTGCTATAACATATGTAGATGTCTATGCTGCCAAGTATAAATTGATCAGCAATGCCAACAGCCAAGGTATACGTTACAGCGTATATAATTTTTAACGATACTACTCCACCGGTTACTTGCTATTTCTCATCAGCACTGATACCGGATAACTCAGTCTACCAAGACTTAGGCGGGTGGGAAGAAATCAGCTAGCATTTTTTTGCCCATGTTGGGATTTGAACCTAATCTGACAGCCTGGCTGACACACTTGGGTGCCATTAGTACATATTTAAAAAAAAAAAAAAAAAAAAGGGCAGCCCGGTGCACTAAGCTTCCGCTATACGCGGAAGGACACGATACTACTCCACCGATTACTTGCTATTTCTCATCAGCACTGATACTGGATAACTCTGTCTACCAAGACTTAGGCGGGTGGGAAGAAATCAGCTAGCATCTTTTTGTCCATGTTGGGATTTGAACCCTAATCTGATAGCTCGGCTGACACCCTTGGGTGCCATCAGTACATATTAAAAAAAAAAGGGTAGCCCGGTGCACTAAGCTTCCGCTATGCGCGGGATCCGAGGAAGGGCCGGACCACAAGGGTCTATTGTACGCAGCCTTACCCTGCATTTCTGATTTCTGCAAGAGGCTATTTCCACGGCTCGAACCCGTGGCCTCCTGGTCACATGGCAGCAACTTTACCAGTTACGCCAAAGCTCCCTTCCATTAGTACATATTACATTCCCAATTCATTTCATTATCTTTTGATCAAGGGTTTAGGCTTTAAAATTTTGAACAGGTTTCATGGAACCCCACAAAATATGCTGTGGATTACATGAGGGGAACACGCATGTATGGTGTGGACAGAAAGCAATAGTGAGAGGTGCAGAAGTGTTTGGAGGAGCTTGTGTCAACCCTTCAATTTACATAAGCTGGGATGGAGTACATTACTCGCAGGCTGCTAATCATTGGATTGCCAATCAGATACTTAACGGCAGTTTCTCTGATCCTCCCATTCCCATTACTCACGCTTGTCATAAACGTCTTCACTATTAGGACTGTTGTATTATAATCTGCACCTTAATTAGTGATCTTTATATCTATGTTTTAACTTTCTTTCTCTTTATTTTTCACATCATTCTTCTTCATATAAAAAGAAACTATCAAGTTTCTAATAAAAAGTCGATGATGAGCTCCCTCGTTTAGGAACTGGGTAACAAGTGGGAGAGAGATTCCTTCACTACAGCAAGGGAGAGATTCCTCCTTTAGAGTCATTTCAGATCAACTCAGAGGCCTTAATAAACACAGTACAAATTTACAGCTCAAAATACTACTAGGATTTTATTTTCATGTCCAATACTGTACAGCAAGAACACTAGAATACTAGACATATCGTACAACAAAGATATTTTTGATAAATACATTGCACGTCAAAGATAATTTTTTTTTTTTTTTTTGGATAAGTAGCAATGCCACTAAATGCTAATAGGTTCAACAACTCACCCTTATAAGACTAGATACATACAGCAGACGGTCCAAATCTAGCAACTCTGGACGTGTTAAGAGTCATAAATAACTACTATATTTCACTGGCGATGTCCATCTGGAAGAGCAACAACCTGGTTAAAGGGCACCAAGCGCTGAGGTAGAGACCCATCTTCCTCGTCATCATCAAACTCCAGTGTATAACTGCAAAATGGAAACATAATGCATTAAACCCTTGAAAAGGTATCATGACTCATTGGTCAAAAATTTGGAATGCAAAAGTCAATTTCAAGAAAGAAAAAAAAAGAAATATTGAGCTCGATGACTGCGAAACAGATAGGGATAATTGATTCCACTTTTCCGTTTAATCAGAAGTCACTGCTCAATTATTGAGTACTATAGAATCTTAAGTTCATCGCTAAGTTCTAAGAAGCCAGGTAAGGAAATGAAAATGAACATCACTTACTCGTCGGTCTTCCTCTGGAAATTGATGTACCATTGGGACGATCACATGCAAATAATTCGAAAACCAATCAATTCCTCAGTACATATGATATTCTGAATAGCTCAGTAAAAAATATCCAGACAAACTACGACAAAAGAAAACTAGATACTGGTACCTTGCGAGCCTGGACTACTGTGGCTTTATACAGGGCTGTGGTTCCTGGGTAAACTGCCAAAACTTGTTTTCCAGGAGGGAATTCTTGAGTGGTCGCAAGATCACTTATCTTGGGAAAAGGTATAATATGTGACCAGGGTAGCTTGTACTTTCTGTAATTCGGGTAAGAAGGTGAATAATCATTTAGTAAGCAAAAGCGGTTGCTGAAGAAAAAAAGCCAATTAGATATCAATGAACTAGCTGAAAAGCGGCCTTTCAAAGTACAGAGAATGAAAAGCCAGAGTTATGATGTAATCAGTTATCAGTCATCATATTCTTCAGTAGCAATATTAGGCCTAGAGTATATGAGATGTCGCAGAATCTTAATCACAAATACCTACAAGAAGGTGCTGTGGACAGATTTTTAGGAAGCAATTTCAGTAACTTGCCGGATAGCTAGGAGTAACTTATGGACTACTTACTCGTGGGTGCCAGTCAACAACCAATCAACAAATAGCACAAAAAGGACAAAATCTCATTGATCTCTATCATCCATCAAAGTACCAGAAGAGGGAAAACTATTAAGTGACTAAAATTCCTCAATGAGCTTTTCAAAGTTGGCAGCTCAAAAGTGAGGCAAGTTTCTTCTGTGTGAGGTCACACCATGGGACAAAATATACCTCCTGCCTTTTCTAGTTTTCTTTTTCCTCCAATTGATGAATGTGATTTGTTAGTCTCATGGGCAACTACAACTGACTTGTATAGAGGTCCCAGAAGGAGCCAGAAAATCTCTTAATCTCCCTCATTCTTCTACCTGCTATTCCAAGCCTCTGTGCTTCTTGTGCCTTCTTAGTAATGGAAAGCATTCAATAATCCAATGGACAAAACAGTTGTTGTTGATGCTTAAGCATCGCATGAATGCAATTTCCCTCTACAACGATCAAGAAGGGAATAGATTTAATCATTCCAGAGCTGGATAGAAGTAGAAAGTAGGAAATGTAATAAATAAAGTGAGTCGTTGTGAAGTTGAGATCCGGTAACGGAACAATGCCTTAGGTTATGTACAATTTGAGAAGTTCCATCTATAACATAAAATTGGAGTTATCACTTTGATCCTAGGAAGTACCTGATAAGTCACTTCATTACTCTCTTTTTCTGTCTCACACCCACTCACTCAGACACACATGCACAGCCACCCCACCACCCACACACAGCGCTTCCCCAATTTTTTGCTGCTAAATGCTCCAGAAACAATCAAGATAACTTACACTTTGGTCACCCCCGCATCAATTTGATAAGTAGTCATCCTGCAACACCTTTTTAGTTCGAGTCTTAAATCACATAGTCAATATAAGACAATATCGTGTTTAGAGAATTATATCAGCATCATAGACCCTAAAATCCAAATCCAAGTGCCAAATCGGAAGACATGTTTGAGGCTTGCATCCATGGATATTAATGGTTGAAGGAACAATGAGCAAAGTAGTAGCAATACAATGCATAAACAATCAAAAGGAAGGAAGCACACAAGCAAAGGTAAATGGGCAAAAACAATCAACACATGTCCAAAGATCGATAGTAAGGCTACCTCTGGGCACCACCTTCCTCATCCTCACCTGGCTCCTCGTCTAGAACTTCAAATCTGCACGGAAGATACAATGTTAACAAAAAATATAGATGTTAATGAATCTTGTTGAAACATAATTAAGTAAATACATGTGTGTTCTCTCTAACAATTCAAGCCTTTAGATGAGATAGTTACACACTTCAATATGGTAACAGAGCATACAGAAGTCCTTGGTTCGATAGATAAAAGATTCACGTACTTGACCCATTAAATAAAAAATCAGGGCAGCACACATGAGGCAACATGGTGAAGACATAATTAAATAGTTAAAAGTATGCTCCCTCTAACAGCTTAAGCTTTTAGATGAGATGGTCACGCACTTCAACAAATCCAGTCCTCGAGATTAACCTTTTAATATGAAGCTTTGTCACAAAACTTACTCTTTTGTTTCTTTGTCATAGTGAGTAACTTTAACAATGACCCACTCATCCTTTTCACCATCCTCTTGCGCGACCCTAGCAGCCACCTAGCGATAAAAGGTTTAACTATGTTATTGCCACCACGAAAGTAAAAGCTCATTCACGATAAGAAAAGTGCTTGAATGATATAATAAAACATAGGAAGGAAGTATTCACTTCAACGAAAATCAATCTATACCTGTTCACCCTTCAGGCTAGCAAAGAACTCCTGCTGATTTCGCATCGAAGGAGAGAGCCGGGGAATGTCAGAGTCACCTTTCATCCTCTTCTTTTTCTGCTCGTTGCCTTCTGTCATCCATGTAGATCCAAATGCATTAATCAAGGTGAAAACAATTGAAGTTGATGATCAGAAATAGAGTTTGAGTCTATTAATTTAGATTTAAACAAGAACATACAATGTTTTTAATCATTGAATAGATATTTGATCCATTAGGCTCAAGAATAACTTGCTTTAAGGTATTACTTTTCCCTTCCTCATGTTCAAGATTATGCATAAAGGCTATAGCTAAAGCATTATACAAGGGGGTGTGCTGATGATTTGTCGACGGTGTCGGGCTATCCACCAAGTTGATATTCGTCTCGCTTTACACTCCTTTTGATACATCTCATTTTTTTTTACCAATTAATCAACTTAATAAGGCAGATATGGGAAGTTAGAGAATTTTGGAACCATTAAGTTTTCCAGAAACGTGCTAAGATGGATGTGAGGACATACTAAGCTAGATAAGATTAGGAATGACGATATTCGGGGGAAGGTGGGCGTGGCTCCCATAGAAGACAAGATGCGGGACTTAGATGGTTCGGGCACGTGAAGAGGAGAAGCCTGGATGCACCGGTGAGGAGGTGTGAACGGCTGTCCTTGACGGGTATGAGGAGAGGTAGACGGCGGCCTAAGAAATATTTGGGAGAGGTGATCAGGCAGGACATGGTGCAGATGCAGATTTCCGAGGACATGGCCCTTGATAGGAAGTTGTGGAGGTCGAGCACTAGGGTTGTAGGTTAGGAGACAGGAGGCTAGTGTGATAGTGTCTTGCTTTAGGCTGCTAGGGGCTCCAGTTGTGTTCTTAATACTTCTTTAGGGTCGAAAAATTAGGCAATAGTAGGTTTAGCGGCCCTATATGTACATATTATTCCCTTGCGTATGTAGTATTGTGCCTTTGTTGATGCTTAGTGTTAATAGTTTGCTCTCTATTTTCTGGTTATTGCGTTGCTGGTGTTATATGTTAGGATTCCTCTGCTGCTACTGCTACTGATACATTGTCTCTTTCTTTCTTGTGCCGAGGGTCTACCGGAAACAGCCTCTATACTCCTCCGGAGTAGGGGTAAGGTCTGCGTACACACTACCCTCCCCAGACCCCACATGTGGGATCTCACTGGGTTGTTGTTGTTGTTGTTGTTGTATTAAGTTTTCCAGAAACGTCACTGGAAGTTATGCTGTCCTGATACCCGAATCTTGTCCTAAACACATTAATAACACCACAAGACAAAAAACACTGTCATCTAATTAGCAGTGAACGTTTTATTTTATTTTGTTGATAAGGAAAAAATATCTTGACTACTAATTTATGACAAATTTCGTATTTTCTTTAATATCCCAAAGTATTCTGCCACTATTGTCCTTCTAAAGATTGATTTATCATGGACCTCAAGTTCAGGCTATAACTATCACTCAAGTTCTTTAGAGGATACCGGCACAGATAAAATTACTTCAAGAGAACATTGGTGAGGTACAGTGTGTGTCCCACAAGGAGAATCAACAGTCAACATCCAGAAATTGAAGATATTGTAAACCAGGTTTTAAATTTAACAAGCGTGAAGCTAGAGATTCAATGATTGCTATGGCAATCAATCATAGTACACACACCTATCCTTCTTCGCTGTTGCCCAGCACCTCCAGCGGGGATTAACACATCCAGCTGGCCTAGCAATTGGTTGGATATACTGCATTCACAGGGTCAGGAGGGAGAAAGAAATGAATTTCAGGTTTGAAAATGAAATATAAAGTATCAGAATGAAACATAACATGTAAGAACAAACATCATAAATCTTCTAAGTCAAGCTGTCAAACAAAGAGTTGCACAAAGTAACACCATGAAGCTCCATTTGGACAGCATAGAAAGCTGTGAGTCAAAAGTAGCCACACAGCTCTTAAACACCCTTCCAAGTGAATAAACAGTGCAAACATAAATACCTCATCTCACTCTCGGAGAGCTCTTTGGCTTGAGTGTATAACATCTTAAGTTTTGACAGTGAACTGTCACCCGGTTTCTCAACCATTTCTGGAGCTGCACAAGGAATGGGGAAGTACCCAAACGGTAAGTGTCATAATATTTTAGAGTATAGTTTGAAAGATACGTGTCACATGCAAGTTTCTAACTCAACAGGTCAATGATCTCCGCTAGTAAAAGTTCTGGTTTCTGGTAGTCATTGTCAATGCCTAATTTTATTACCTAACTTTTAAATTTTGGGGAAATCACACAAACTTGGATTTATAAGAATATCAATTCTTTGTCGGACATAATATTCTTTTTATATCCTCAATTTGGATTTAGTCATAGGAGAAAACATTAGAATATATTATATTCCAAGCATTGAGTGAATAAAGCTACCACGACAACGTTAACCGAGAAAGAACAATATAAAAATTTCAGTAGCAATTCAATTTGTTCTATCTGACAAGTAAGTAAAAAAGGAAGAGTAAATTGGCAAAGTGTCATCCAAGCAGTCAAAATTTTTAAAACATAAGTTGCTTTCTTTAAGCTAGAATCAAAGATGATAATGGAAAAGTAAGGCCAAAGCAAGTAACTTAAGAAACGATCATAAATTAAAGTTAGTTAGTACTGATGTGAATCAAGTTATGCCATCCATTCTCATGAGGGTAGAGAAATTAATTTACAATTATCTGGTATTTGGTGATTCTGTAAGCATAGAAATGGTAAACAGTGGGTAATTAAGCTGATAAGTTTGCATTTAATGTTGCCTAGATGCAGATAAGAAATCTAAAACACACTTGAAGGAGATAACAAAGAGAAGTTGTCCCACATAGAACAATCACTTTATCATTTATCAGATGAAAGTAGAACAAAATATTTTATAACCAACACTGAACCAGATAAATTATCTGGTTGTAGTACAGTCAGCAAAAAGAATTCACTTCATGGTTTTCAACAGGGGATTTGGCTTGATGCAAGAAAATAAGTAATACATGACTTAGATGATCAAGGAGCTATAAAGCAGTTGCAAGCCTCCACGTACCTCAAGGTAGCTTATAGAACCAAGGGAGGAAACTGATGGCTAACTTATGAAAGAAAAGATGCAAAGATTCAAACCAATTCTTTATATTCCTACAACCCAAAATCTGTTAAAAGGGAACTCAAAGATGCCTACTTTACTTACAAACCAATCATGTCGAAGCATAAAGATAACCAAAAATTTGTTGGACAAAACCCCCATAAACCAGTGGCACCAAAACCTATAACCTTTCAGTCTTAGTTGTCGACCTTATTTTTGGTTAAAAGGAGTATTTTGTTAGCTAAAATAACATTTTGTTTTTCAATAGATTAGTAGGCTCGCAATGAAATTTAGTTACAAGCTAACTTTTTACCAAATAATCTTCAGAGGAGGAAGAGGTCAGGGCTCATGAAAAATATTTCACTATGTCTATAATGAACAATTGTGGAACCTTCATATAGAGATCTTCCAAGGGCCTCTTCATCTGTGCTCTCTAACACTTACTTATTTTCTCATGCTTCCCACAAGTCACTCCATTTCTCATAGAACACATACTTATTTTCTCATGCTTCCAACAAGCCACTCCATTTCTCAAAGAACTCTAACCGGAAAATTTCTCACTAACTTTTACTTATACTAGAACTCCACTGCTGTAATTTGCATCAGAATACTTGATCATTCTATAAATCCAAAAGTTCAGTATTATTACTTATCACAAACTTATGTCAGCATGATAATCAGACTGCCAAACTCTAATTTCACCACTTTAATATCGAAATCTACTTGCCTTACAACTCTTCAGCTTATGTGATGGTTACTGTATCACAGTTTTGGTGAGCAAAATTTGAAGGGCAGGTGGACCCACTACTAGCCATTCCATAAACACTGTGGAATACCAGACCAATACACATCAAACTATCACTTAATGTTCTTCCATTCTTCGCAAAGTGTAGTAAATACAAAGTATTTGAGTTATCTGCAGTACATTGTAAAAATTTCTTTTACATCATAGGTTAGTTACCATTTTTACCAAGTTATTAATTACTGTTTCTCATAGAATATACCTATATTTACCTTGTAAGTGACCTGATTACATAAATACTTATTTTTTTACACAGACATTGCGTAGAACTTTAACTCAATTATGAAATATAATAAAGGAATTATGGTAAAGCTTTTCACTTTCTCCATTACTCTAACAGTAATAATTTAAATGAGGAGAAGTTGAAATACTAACTGGATTGAAGCTTCTTGTGCATCTTATTGATTTCAAGGAGTACTTCCTCTTGTTCTTTCCTTAAACGATCAAGTTCCTTTGATTTGTCCAACATTTCGGCAATGTCCGGTGACGACATCTACTTATTTGTTTTCCGAGGAGATCGCGATAGTTCCAGAAGCTTCTGGAAGCTTCGGTTCGAAACCAGAAGAAGACGATCAGAGCTCCAACTAAATCATCATCGTCTTAGGTTGTCGGAGAAGACGCACGGATTACTATTTGGAGATTAACTTCGCCTGAATTGCCACTGGTGCTTCCCTTGGGAAAAGTCCTGTTTGCCCCTCTGGTATTTTCTCTTTTGTCTGAATATTCCTGCTCTTACCAATACTTAGGGGTCGTTTAGTTACAATGACAACGGATAATTATCTTCGGACATAATATAAAGTTGGAATAATTAATTTTGGGATTAAATTTGAGATGAATTTATTTTTTTATTTTGAGATTGTAGTATTTTATCCCGTGATAGGACGGGATAACTAATCCAGAAATAATTAATCTTAAAATAATTAATTATAAAAAAACTTATTTCTCGTCCAAAGAGAGTATTTTATGCCGCCTGCCTTTTAATGTAAGTCTTCTTAGTTCATAAAAAAAATGATTGACGCAGTTTTTACGTTTTTTACAAATCATATTACAAATTCTTATTTAATTTCTATATAAGGGTACACTAGTTTTAGATGGCATTACTGCGTAAGAATTTATCTAGTATCCACTGACAGAACCAACGGTGCAATTAGTACGGAAAATCAAAAAGATGATGATGAGACCACATGTTCATATGCCGTAATACACAGGCTCATTTATCTATTTAAATAACGGAAAAAGGCCAAAAATGTCCTTTAACTATTCGAAATAGCTTAAAAATATCCTCTATTTGTTTTTGGTATCAAAAATATCTCTGCCGTCTATGTTTTGGACCATAAATGCCCCTTAAACCGTTAGTCTTGCCATTGAAGCTGACATGGCAGTCCAACTGGATTAGACTTTCTTACATGGCCATCCACCTAAGCAATCCAGCATGGCCAAAATATTTTTTCGGAAAAATTATTTTTCCAAATTTTTTTATTAAAATACAAAATCAACATTTATTCCTAAAAAAATAAAAAAATTCCGGAAAAAATATTTATTTCGCGAAGCTGGTATCCTCAGACCGCCTAAGAGACTTTCCGACTGTCGAAGGAAGGAAGTTCACTTTTTAGTGAGCAGAAATTGACTAGTTTATTTAATTGACTTAAAGATCTTTACCACCTATCATACGGCTTTCTAACTTAACTTCTTTTTCTGGTCGTCCCGCTCTGTCGATCGATGGTAGTATAAGAGATCTGTAACCCGGAATTTTTTATTAAAGGCTGAATACATACGGAGACACTTAAAGTTGGCACGATTTTTCATTTAGACACCTGAACTTAGGGGTGTTTCTGTTGAGCACGTACATTACATGAACTTTGTTCCAATTAGGCACTTCTTGCTGAGTTGGCACATAGAGTGAGTTTCACCCAATATAGGTGCATGAAGAGCCCAAAAAACTTTTTTTTTTTTGTCTTTTTTATTTCCTCCTTCTTCTTCTTCATGTCCACCACCATTTCCACCATTGCCTCCTCCACTTTCACCATTGTTGTGCCTCCGCCATTGATTTAGCTCGAAAGTTTGAACCAACCCTTCTTCTTCACACAAAAAAGCAGCCGCCAGCCCCTTCTCCAAACAACCGGCCGCCGCCAAGCTCCCCCCTCCTCACCACCAAATCCTCTGCCACCCTCCTCTAACCCCTACCGCCAGCCCCTTCTCCAAACCAGCAGAAGCATTAATTCTCTCATCAGGATAAGGAATGTCTATAATCGCCGGCGACGGAGAATGAACTCCGGCGACAGAAGCATTACTTATCTCATCGGGATAACGAATCTCCATTGACGCCGACACTGGAGATTGATGTCACGACCCGGATTTTTCCCACCATCAGGCGTCGTGATGGCGCCTACTAACGGAGCTAGGCCAGCCATACATTAAACATTCGCTATTCAACCTCAACAATATAATATACTAACAACAGTTAAAGAAATGCGGAAGACTTTAAGTTTAACAAAATGATATAAAAATGCGGAAATTTGAAACACCTCTCTACCCAAAATCTGGTGTCACTAGCTCACGGACTACTATAGAATACTACAACAAGTCTGAATGAAAGAAATACACATGCCTGTTTCGATACAATGAAAACAAACTGAAATAAGGAAAGGGACTTCGGCCTGCGAACGCCAGCCTAGGCTACCTCGAGAGTCCCTGGAGCTCCCGGATAAGAATCCTACTGCTGCTGTCCGAAAGCTGCTCCTGGATCTGTGCACAAAGAAATGCACAGAGTGTAGCATCAGCACAACCGACCCCATGTGCTGGTAAGTGCCTGGCCTAACCCCGGCGAAGTAGTGACGAGGCTAGACAGGACTACCAAACCAACCTGTACAATTTTTTATATACAAATATGCAACAAAAAGGAAAGAAAATACCGAAACTAAACAGTTAAAAAAAAGAGGGAAACATGCTATGGGGGGGAGTACAATTTGGATATAAAGTTCATCAGCGTAATTAAGAAACATGGAACAACAATAATTATCAAAGAATAAGAAATTCAATAGTTGCACGGCATCACCCTTTGTGCTTTTACTCTCAATCTCACCCAAAGCAGTCAAATAAAATGCACGGCATCACCCTTCGTGCTTTTACTCTCACATAGCTCTCATCTCATGGCACGGAATGACCCTTCGTGCAGGTATAATCAAATCAGAGCACGGAATGTACCTTCGTGCATAAATAGTCAAAACATAGCACGGAATGACCCTTCGTGCAAATATAATCAAGGATAGCACGGAATGACCCTTCGTGCAATTTCACTCTTCCTCACCCAAATAACAGTCACAACCAAACGGGCAAGAGGAATAAACAAGTAATATGAACTATCTCGGCAAGGGAATAACACAAATAACAACCAAGGCCCGGCAAGGGAACAATAACAGTATCTTTCACAACCCGGCAAGGGCAATACTCACTGTAATCAAACCATCCTGGCAAGGGATTAATCACAACTCCTTTCAATACGTTCACCTCTTACTCAATGGTATTTATCATTCGAGCCAATGCTCCAAAATATTAATATTTCACAACTTGTCCTCAAACTCTTCACATTTGCAGAAAAACATATTGTAGCTTGGAAAAGTTCCAAATTATCCCAAAAATCAAGTACAAACAAAGACCCACGGTCATGCTAGACTCCGGTGTATAGACACTCGTCACCACGCCTATACACCGTACTCGATCAATTAGCAAATAGCATTCATGATACTCTAATCCTATTCCCTCAAGCCAAAGTTAGATCAAACACTTACCTCGAATGCTCCAAACACAACTCAATCCTCTAGTATAGCTTTACCCTTCGAATTCCCCGCCAAACCGCTCGAATCTAGTCACAAATTACTTGAATGTATCAACAAAGGCTAATCTAATAAACTTGAATGCATGAAAAGTAAACTTCTCAAAGTTTTACTGAAATTCCCCCGGGCCCACGTGGTCACAACCCGAGGTTCGAACCAAAACCCGATGACCCATTCCCCCATGAGCTCAAATATGTAAGTTATTTTGGAATCGGACCTCGAATTGAGGTCCAAAACCCCCAAATTTTAGAAAACCTAGGTTCTACCCTAAATTCCCAATTTCCCCAATAAAATCTTTATTTTGAAGCTGAAATTAGGTTTAAAGATGTTAAGGAGTAAAGAAAATCAGTTAGAAAATACTTACCAATCGTTTTGAAGAAGTGAAAATCGTTGGAAAATCGCCTCCTAATGTTTTGGGTTTTGAAAAAGTGTAAAATGACTGAAAATCTCGGATTTATATACTTTGCCGAAGGACTGGCGCGGACCGCACAAGAAAGCACCGCGGCCGCGCCGAAGAAGGGAAGAATATGACTCTCTGAACCTACCCAGCGCGGACCGCACGATTTTGGTGCGCGGCCGCGCTGGTGTCTTGCACCTGGGGCCTTCTCTGAATCTCCCAGCGCGGACCGCACGAACTTGGTGCGCGGCCGCGCTGGTCAAACCAAGAGGACCCCTCTGAATCTGGCCACGCGGACCGCGCGGACTGCACCGCGGCCGCGTGGCTTCCAGCGCGGACCGCGTGGAAATGAACGCGGCCGCGGCCTGCAACACTGCAACATCTGATACTCTAGCCTAAGGCCTCCCGGAACCTACTCAAAACTCACCCGAGCCCTCGGGGCCCCAAACCAAACATACACACTAACTCAATAACATCCTACGAACTCATCCGTGCGATCCAATCGCCAAAACAACATCATAATCATCAAATTAGGCCTCAAGACCCATGATTTCCTTCCAATTTTCATAAGACATCAAGTTAGAGTTTTTAGTCCAAAACACGTCAAACGACGTCCAAATCTAACCAAACTTTACAGCGATTGCTTAAATCATATTTAAGACCTGTGCCGGGCGTTGGAACCAAAATACGAGCCCAACAGCACAGTCTTCTAAACAGATAACACTTTCAAATTCTTTAATTATTTTCAGGAAACAATTTTCACACAATAATTCATTTCTCGGACTCGGGACCTCGGAATTTGATTCCGGGCACACCCCCAAGTCTCATATTTTCCTACGGACCCTCCGGGACTGTCGAATCATGAGTCCGGGTCCGTTTGCCCAAAGCGTTGACCGAAGTCAAACTTAATCAATTAAAACATCAGAATTTTTTATTATTTTTCTCACAAATTCATATTTAACGTTCCAGCTACGCCCCCGGACTGCGCACACAACCTCGAGGCAACCCCCAAGTAAGGTTACGGCCTCAGAAATACAGAGTGAGTAGGAATACAGGTGATGACCCTTTGGGTCGTCACAATTGAGCTCCATCAGTAAAACCGTTATTGATCTCAACGGGATAATGGATCTCCATTGTCGCTGGTGACGGAGATTGAACTCCATCGTTAAAACCGTCAATTATCTCATCAGGATAAGGGATCTCGGTTGTCGCCGGCGACGGAGATGGAACACCGGCGGGAGAACTATCAACAATCTCATCGGGATAACGGATCTCCATTGTCACCGGCGCCAGAGAAGGTGCAAAGTTGCCGTAATCAAGCAAATTCACGGCGTCATCTAATGACATCGACACAGATAACACAACAATCCACCGATTTCGATAAACCTCCGTTCTATTAACAACAACGCCGTTAACAGTCACATCGCAGTCGACGAAATTTACGACGAGCATCTTGTTCGGAGCTAGAGTTTCTGATTGGGTGTAAATTAATTTTTGTTTACTTTTTGAGAATGTTATTTTATTT